GATGGTTATTTTTTGTTGTATTGGATATAGATATTTATGCCATCACAGATTTAACTTCCGAGTCCGATATTTACCGTAATATTACGGACTAGCAGGTGTGTAACATATATATAGGCTACAACAGATACCTATATAACCATGGCTGTACTGATCTCCCGGGTAACGTCGCCAGAGAATCGACGCACGTCGATTGGACAATGCCCGGCGACGGGCAGAGTCACGAAGACGATAAACCACCACCATCATCATCATCGGTAAAACAGTACCAGCTAAGTCCATATTAGTACAGAGTGTAATTTGATAAAATCACTCATCCTTGATTGGGCCCCATCCTACATGTGAACTCTCGTGCCTACGACTCGATAAGGACCAAGGGTACATAACTCATGGTATCCCGTAGAAATAGCTGCATATGAGTTGGTAAACCTTAGGCCCGCCTCATACAGCTAACCCGTTCTGCCAACTTGGCAATCTCTCACCCTGATTATTATTTTGTGTATAATTAATTTAAAAAAAGAATTAATGAATTGATGTCATTGAAACGACATGACATCAAACAATGGCAGTGACTTAAAAAATTCTCCCTCTCCTCCCATCTCAGCCCTGGTGTTCCTGGGGGTCATTCCTGGTGTATATCGGACAAATCTGAAGGATCAAATACCAAAGGAATTCTGGGTAAACCTTTGATTTTCTCTTTTGTATTGTGACCCTCAGATTGTTGTGACTTTATCCTCATCCACGATAAAGTCATTATACCTGAACAGTGTGTTACATAAATGATCCCAGAAATGTTGTTTTATACCAGGTACGTCTCTGCTTATACAGAACAGTGGAAGTAAGTACAAACGTGAACATATATCTAATACATCATCCATATGTTCTGGTAGTATTGACGAACCGAATGTGCTTAATGGACGTACGACTGAAAAAAAGTAAATGCAGGTGCTAAGATGTTAAAGCCAACATTTGGGGGTGGGGCTGGGGTGTAGGGGTTGGGGGTTATATGGCGGGTAAAAAAGGTAGCATTTTGTATGGATATAAAAGGACTGTAGTAAAACACACACTTATAAGATCAAGAGTTAGGTTTTGTTTCAAAACATTAGTTTTCCAGTGGCTCGATTCAGTATTACGAAATGCCTGGTCTTCTCCATGTGTACTATAAACGTATTGAAAAAGCAATCTGAACTACTCACTGACTGACAATGGTAGATCGTATATGACATATACGTCCCTGGGTAGATTGATAACTGAACCAGCATAATGTCTTCATCACATCTGAACTACTCACTAGCCGACAATGGTAGATTGATATCTGAACCAGCATAATGTCTTAATCATGTCTGAACTACTCACTGGCTGACAATGGTAGATTGATAACTGAACCAGCATAATGTCTTAATCACATCTGAACTACTCACTGGCTGACAATGGTAGATGATAACTGAACCAGCATGATGTCTTCATCACATCTGAACTACTCACTAGCCAACAATGGTAGATTGATATCTGAACCAGCATAATGTCTTCATCACATCTGAACTACTCACTGGTTGACAATGGTAGATTGATAACTGAACCAGCATAATGTCTTCATCACATCTGAACTACTCACTAGCCGACAATGGTAGATTGATATCTGAACCAGCATAATGTCTTAATCATGTCTGAACTACTCACTGGCTGACAATGGTAGATGATAACTGAACCAGCATGATGTCTTCATCACATCTGAACTACTCACTGGCTGACAATGGTAGATGATAACTGAACCAGCATGATGTCTTCATCACATCTGAACTACTCACTAGCCGACAATGGTAGATTGATATCTGAACCAGCATAATGTCTTCATCACATCTGAACTACTCACTGGTTGACAATGGTAGATTGATAACTGAACCAGCATAATGTCTTCATCACATCTGAACTACTCACTAGCCGACAATGGTAGATTGATATCTGAACCAGCATAATGTCTTAATCATGTCTGAACTACTCACTGGCTGACAATGGTAGATTGATAACTGAACCAGCATAATGTCATAATCACATCTGAACTACTCGCTGGCTGACTGGTAGATTGATAACTGAACCTGCATAATGTTTTAATCACATCTGAACTACTCATTGGCTGAAGATGGTGGACTGAGAGTAGAGCTGGCATGTTCACAATGTGAATAGAATATAAGTTCTTATAACACAAACAGTAGCAGATTAGAGCGTGACATTTCAATGACTGTGTCATCAAAATGTCACACTCTAATCTTTTGCTGGTTCCTCTATCTTATTAACATTACCAACCTGAAGAAAATGTAAAAAAAACAACAACAATGTCAGTTTCTTTAAAACGATATTTCAAATTCAAATTGATGCTTTTTCAATTTTGATCCCTGTTCTCACAGACTGAAGTATCACTGCACATTGTACAACTATCACATTATTACAGCCACTTCAACATTTCTAATCCTAGCATTAACATTAGTCACTGAACTGCGTCATCTGACCAGTCATCTGACCAGCGCCATCTGACGGGGACTAAACATATAGGTAGAGTTCTGGCAACTACTAGTACAGTTTTCAAGGTCATCAGACTGCCTGGGTTAGGATGATGGATTGCCATAATATTCATTCATTCAAGGTCTGCCTCGCTATGTTGTAACATTTACACATTTTAAACAACTCTTTCAACCCCCTTTCAGGATTTTAATTGTATTTGGCTATAAGAGATTCAAAATTGAAATTTCAAGGAATAACCTCCATTGTCAAAATAGAATAAAAAAGAGCTGAAATCCTCTCAAGAGCATGAATAACAATGAAATCATTTAACAGTTTAAATCCTCTCTGAGGTTTTACCAACAACAGGAAATTCAGACTAGTTCTGGGGTGAAAGTATTCCTGGCATCTTTGGCGAATCAGGTGATCAATTTAAACCATATTTTGCTATGAGTGTCCTTCGTGTAAGGCAATTTTTTAACCACTGAGTATTAGACTGTACAAGGTTGGAATAGGAAGTGATGACATCTGACATCAGACCAACAGACATACAACTCTACCCTAACCAGAGCAGAGTATTAGACTGTACAAGGTTGGAATAGGAAGTGATGACATCTGACATCAGACCATCAAAGACATACAACTCTACCCTAACCAGAGCAGAGTATTAGACTGTACAAGGTTGGAATAGGAAGTGATGACATCTGACATCAGACCATCACATACAACTCTACCCTAACCAGAGCAGAGTATTAGACTGTACAAGGTTGGAATAGGAAGTGATGACATCTGACATCAGACCAACAAAGACATACAACTCTACCCTAACCAGAGCAGAGTATTAGACTGTACAAGGTTGGAATAGAAGTGATGACAGTGATGACATCTGACATCAGACCATCAAAGACATACAACTCTACCCTAACCAGAGCAGAGTATTAGACTGTACAAGGTTGGAATAGGAAGTGATGACATCTGACATCAGACCAACAGACATACAACTCTACCCTAACCAGAGCAGAGTATTAGACTGTACAAGGTTGGAATAGGAAGTGATGACATCTGACATCAGACCATCAAAGACATACAACTCTACCCTAACCAGAGCAGAGTATTAGACTGTACAAGGTTGGAATAGGAAGTGATGACATCTGACATCAGACCATCACATACAACTCTACCCTAACCAGAGCAGAGTATTAGACTGTACAAGGTTGGAATAGGAAGTGATGACATCTGACATCAGACCAAGGTTGGAATAGGAAGTGATGACATCTGACATCAGACATACAACTCTACCCTAACCAGAGCAGAGTATTAGACTGTACAAGGTTGGAATAGGAAGTGATGACATCTGACATCAGACCAACAAAGACATACAACTCTACCCTAACCAGAGCAGAGTATTAGACTGTACAAGGTTGGAATAGGAAGTGATGACATCTGACATCAGACCATCAAAGACATACAACTCTACCCTAACCAGAGCAGAGTATTAGACTGTACAAGGTTGGAATAGGAAGTGATGACATCTGACATCAGACCATCAACTCTACCCTAACCAGAGCAGAGTACAAGGTTGGACTCTACCCTAACCAGAGCAGAGTATTAGACTGTACAAGGTTGGAATAGGAAGTGATGACATCTGACATCAGACCAACAAAGACATACAACTCTACCCTAACCAGAGCAGAGTATTAGACTGTACAAGGTTGGAATAGGAAGTGATGACATCTGACATCAGACCAACAAAGACATACAACTCTACCCTAACCAGAGCAGAGTATTAGACTGTACAAGGTTGGAATAGGAAGTGATGACATCTGACATCAGACCAACAAAGACATACAACTCTACCCTAACCAGAGCAGAGTATTAGACTGTACAAGGTTGGAATAGGAAGTGATGAAGTGAGACATCTGACATCAGACCAACAAAGACATACAACTCTACCCTAACCAGAGCAGAGTATTAGACTGTACAAGGTTGGAATAGGAAGTGATGACATCTGACATCAGACCACTAGACATACAACTCTACCCTAACCAGAGCAGAGTATTAGACTGTACAAGGTTGTTTAGGAAGTGATGACATCTGACATCAGACCATCAAAGACATACAACTCTACCCTAACCAGAGCAGAGTATTAGACTGTACAAGGTTGGAATAGGAAGTGATGACATCTGACATCAGACCAACAAAGACATACAACTCTACCCTAACCAGAGCAGAGTATTAGACTGTACAAGGTTGGAATAGGAAGTGATGACATCTGACATCAGACCAACAGACATACAACTCTACCCTAACCAGAGCAGAGTATTAGACTGTACAAGGTTGGAATAGGAAGTGATGACATCTGACATCAGACCAATAGACATACAACTCTACCCTAACCAGAGCAGAGTATTAGACTGTACAAGGTTGGAATAGGAAGTGATGACATCTGACATCAACCAGAGCAGAGACAAGGTTGGAATAGGAAGTGATGACCACATCAGACATACAACTCTACCCTAACCAGAGCAGAGTATTAGACTGTACAAGGTTGGAATAGGAAGTGATGACATCTGACATCAGACCAATAGACATACAACTCTACCCTAACCAGAGCAGAGTATTAGACTGTACAAGGTTGGAATAGGAAGTGATGACATCTGACATCAGACCAACAAAGACATACAACTCTACCCTAACCAGAGCAGAGTATTAGACTGTACAAGGTTGGAATAGGAAGTGATGACATCTGACATCAGACCAACAGACATACAACTCTACCCTAACCAGAGCAGAGTATTAGACTGTACAAGGTTGGAATAGGAAGTGATGACATCTGACATCAGACCAACAAAGACATACAACTCTACCCTAACCAGAGCAGAGTATTAGACTGTACAAGGTTGGAATAGGAAGTGATGACATCTGACATCAGACCATCAAAGACATACAACTCTACCCTAACCAGAGCAGAGTATTAGACTGTACAAGGTTGGAATAGGAAGTGATGACATCTGACATCAGACCAATAGACATACAACTCTACTCTAACCATAAGGTCCAAAGCACTGGCACTGTTTACTTTAGTATGTATATTTACATGAAAGTGGGTTCTACATAACTGGCACAACAGTACATTTAAAGAGGTCCATGACACTTGTACTGATGCATGCATTTGTTTTTATTTAAAAAGTTTTAAATCAAAGGTGTTTAAACCTCACTCAGGCTATAGGGCTGTGTTTCGTCTGTCTGTGGTTGTGTGTTTGATTCCTCAATTTGGCTCTGCTCAACCTCCATCTTGTCCTCCTCTGTCCCAGCCTTCATATCAGTATCACACACAGTTTCCACGTCTGCTGATCCTAGTAAATCTGCATTTGCCCACATTTTCATCTCCTGTGAATCATCACTAAATTCATCGTCAATACTGACAGAACAGTTTGAATTTACGCCCTTTTCACTGTTAGAAGATTTTAATGTACTTTTCTCTTTTGGGGCTTGTGCCTCCTTCAACTCATCATCGGAAGGTGTATCATCATTACCATATCCTGCCTCCATTTTAGTAACATAATCCATTAGTTGTTTGCGAGCATCATCGTCCTTAATTGTACCTATCCAGTAGTTAACACAGCTCTCCAGGACATTAGCTAGATTTCCTGTCTCCAATGCCTCTTGCAGAACAAATTCCACAAATGGTCGCTTTAAATGCTCATATCCAAACTCCCCCAAGGATTTCAGAATTCTGGTGATCCGCAGGTAGTTATGGTAGGAACTAAACAGCAAAGGAAAACATCAATATTAATGGTGTATCATCAGAAATTTTCATAAAAATTGCAATGTATAACTAAAATTTGATAAAAAATAAAACAAGATCCTAGAGGGGTCTTTGTGCCAATCAATGAATTATTTTAATTGGTTCTATGCAAGACTGAGCCTTTCTTTTTCAATCTTACCCATTTTCTCTATATCGTTTGATAATCTGGAAATGCTACATAGGAGGTCTAAACAAAATCAAACACTTTTTACAGTTTGCGTTAACAAATTCCAAGTGTCAAAACCAAGGTTGTCTTCAGTCAGCCATTTTAATATCTTAAACGACCTAATGTGTACATGAAGGTTGTGACCTTGGGTATAGGCAGAACACCGAGATGAAGCAAGTATTATAAGGCCTGATGTCAGTCTTTCACAGTCTGCATTGTGGTACCCCAGTAACACCTCGGTAAATGGCTCATGCCATTTCAAGATTCTTGAAAAAATATTTTTATGTCAAATAATTTCATTCTTTTTCTGTTTTGTTACTTGGTTATAAATGTTAAGAATTATTTCGCAGAGGATCAATTTTGAGTTAACAGTCAAAAACTGTCATGTTTACGTTGAGAACTTTCATTTTTTACATGTTGATATTGTGATTTCAGTGATAACTGATGGTAATTTAGCTAAAATATCTGCACATAACATCTCAAAAAGCACAAATGATTTTTACACTGATATATAGCATACAACACAGTTTACAGCTGTGTCCTTCATAGGTGTCGTCAGGAATGCTGAAATAGTTTTGCCTAACGGCAAATGTTGACCCTGACCACATGGTCAATTATTGGTAGTTCCCTGAGCCATTTACAGAGACGTATTGTGACTGATATGGAAAGACAACTCTGGTATTGATTGGCCTGGTGTGCACCTGGAGGTCATGACCATGACTATAGGTAGAACAACCAAAGGTACAATATTTAAAAAGCCTGATGTGTACCTAAAGGTCATGACCTTGACTATAGGTAGAACAACCAAAGGTACAACTTTTAAAAAGCCTGATGTGTACCTGGAGGTCGTGACCTTGAATTCAGTGATAATCTGTTTATTCAGTAGCAATTATTTATGACCATTACTATTTGTTTACAATCACTTGTATTGCTAAAAAAAACTGCATCAAGTGATATTGATCAAGGCTTTACTGGAAATCTGATAACAGAGGATCAAATTGTCCATTTATGACTAACCCTAACAGTACAGACGATTTTAAATCTGGATTCATGAAATACTTCTAGGATTACAATACAAATCCTTCAACCTGACAGTGTTTATAAAATAAAAAGGAAATATGTGTAAACCCCTCCAATTCCTGTACACATGTCAGCTTATTGTGACCCTGTTTTCTTGTACACATCTCTGTAATCCCCGACTCAAGGAATGTCATAGTGCATGTTTGTAACAATGTTCAGAGACAGGAAACTTTCAGAGTACTTAGAGAAACATTTATGAAAAACATTTGGCAAATATACCCTTAAGATGAGTCAAACATTGATCTGTATTTCTCAGCATACCATGTTACACACGTTGTATTTCTACTTTTCTCACCAGTAACTGACTATAGATTCATATAGCAACACTCAAAGTCTCTCTATATTGAATCATAGGGAATGAATATATTGAAGATCCCTGATTTCATCACACAGTTACAACATCCAAGATTGTCTGCTAAAAATCCTGGCATTTATTGTTGATAACCAGGCCTTGATTTCATTAACAAAAGTCTTTACCTCACAAATATGATATTGAAAGCATGCCAGATTAACATAATTAAATATCAACTGACGTGGCCGAGGTCCGATCACAAATGTGATTTTACTTCAGTCCTACAAGAAGATGAATACAGTCATAAATAAATCTACTTTGTATAACATGAAATATCCACTTGGACAGTCTTTTATTATTTTTTTCCCAAGCCATCACTTCAATGATAAAAACTTTGCTGATTTAGCAACAAAGAAATAGAAACTTTCTAAACAATACACATTTCAGGCTATACAGTAATAGTATCTACAAGTGTGATAACCAAACTAGTCATTTATACACTTTTAATTAATAATTCACTAGAATTCCCTCTAATATTGCCTATACATTTCTCCCCTATCACAAGGCTATGACAAGTATGCAGCTACCACAGATATGTTTTACTACCTTTAAAAATACATTTTATCTTAATCCCTTACTCTCTTTTGGTTCAGCCTATCAACAAATCAAATTTTGGCAGCATGGCTTTGTAAAATGGTTTATTGAAGAAACCAGACTATGGTCCCTATTCCAGGTATGTGGTGGTCCCACACCATTTGACCACAGGGATCAGGGTGCCCTTTAAAGGCCACACATTTTTTGAACGGCTACGTTTTTGTACTTCACATTTGCCCCTGCTGTGACATTAAGAGTTTACAGTGCCTGTTCCTGTCTAGGGACTGAGCTATTTGTAAATATTAGTGTCACTTTTACTTTTTATCTTAAAAAAAATTACCTCCAACAACAGAAAATGTTGGAATGATAAAATATTGTACTGAGTACAGAACACAGAGACAAGCTGTATACCTCAAGTACCACAATCATTTAACTAAATAAGATCAAGATATTTTTGTATTTAAAACCAAGACCTGTTTATGGATGAGACAGCAATACCTTCTGGTGTGGTGAGATTTACTTGAAATTGTGTAAAAACATGGTGGGAAAGGTTATACACCGCAAAGGTACACCCATTCTCTCAAACATCACCTTACAGGTTGGTAGGTTCTCTTCCCACAATGACGAGGCAGTTACCAAAAGATGTAACAAAACAATACAAAACATGACTCACTGTTTCATGTCCTATATTTCAAACATTCTATATTTGGATAGATATTTTATCTATTTCAGATAGAGGAATTTACTGTCAATAGCAGACATGGGGTAAACACTTGTGGGAAGTGCTATCCAGATCTCTGTGAGAACTGAGGGGGTGGAGCGTTGGTGTAGTATCCAGATCTCTGTGAGAACTGAGGGGGTGGGCGTTGGTGTAGTATCCAGATCTCTGTGAGAACTGCGGGGGTGGGCGTTGGTGTAGTATCCAGATCTCTGTGAGAACTGAGGGGGTGGGGCGTTGGTGTAGTATCCAGATCTCTGTGAGAACTGAGTGGGGGGGGCGTGGGTGTAGTATCCAGATCTCTGTGAGAACTGAGGGGGTGGGGCGTTGGTGGATTATCCAGATCTCTGTGAGAACTGAGGGGGTGGGGCGTTGGTGTAGTATCCAGATCTCTGTGAGAACTGAGGGGGTGGGGCGTTGGTGTAGTATCCAGATCTCTGTGAGAACTGAGGGGGTGGGGCGTTGGTGTATTATCCAGATCTCTGTGAGAACTGAGGGGGTGGGGCGTTGGTGTAGTATCCAGATCTCTGTGAGAACTGAGGGGGTGGGGCGTTGGTGTAGTTCAAAAGTATTTCACAAATGAAAGTATAAACTTAATTGTAAATAGCAATCAACTATTGGTAAAAAACAAATGGTTGAAAATTTAAAATGTTATCAAAGAGAGAATGACAACAATTTACAAAGGAATATCACATATACTTGAGTTATTTTTTTAATTTTACATTATTTATGTCCAGGATATGTAACTTCTGCCAAAGGCTTGTTATATCTACCTTACAGAAAAATTCAAAACTTGGATGATAAAGCAACATCCCCCCCAACATTTTAAGTCTCAATGGCTCAAACAATTTCTCTTACAAGACTTATGGAATCTCCTGGTATTGCAAAACAGTTTAAGAATGATATCTTTTGACCTTATCAGGAGAAGTAAGCTTGACAAAAACAGCTGTTGGTTTTCCTCATGGTACATGTATTAAATACCCTCTATCATCAAGGTGTCAATTGCAGTTTTATCAAATTGATAAAATTGACGATCTATTTGCTTTAAACAAGCAAGTATGTGACTAGAATCTTTGTTCATGGTAGATCTATAGCTTTTCATTTCAATTAAACAGCCCAAACTGGCATGGTTTGCATCGTAAATTTCATACTGCGGGTGGCATGCTGTGAATATTGGAATTTCTATTAAATGTGATTATATTAACATGCAATAAATATTCCTAAACTTGTGTCAGTGACAAATTACACGTCTACACTGAAGATTAACAACATGCACAAAAAACATGCACCTCTCCAGCACCTCCATTTCTATAAAACCATGTATTTCTATTTTCTATTCCTCATAACAGGGCTATATAGGGCTTTTTGGGCCCAATTTCCAAATGAGATTATTTCACATTTAAGTCAAATTCCAAATGTTTACAATTTGCTCCTGAAAATTTTCCTTCCCAGTTCATTGATATTCTTCCCAAAATGAGGCAAACATTCCCAATCCTACAAACATACCCCATCCCACAAACATACCGCATCTCACAAAAATTCCCCATCCCACAAAAATTCCCATCCAACAAAAATTCCCAATCCCACAAAAATTCCCCATCCCAATCCAGTGAAAAAAGAGGGAAACACCAATATGTGTCACTGTAATTGTAACACTTGGGACACACCATCAGGTGTTGCTATGAGAGTGACACTTGGGACACACCATCAGGTGTTGCTATGAGAGTGACATTTGGACACACCATCAGGTGTTGCTATGAGAGTGACACTTGGAACACAACATCAGGTGTTGCTATGAGAGTGACACTTGGGACACACCATCAGGTGTTGCTATGAGAGTGACACTTGGGACACAACATCAGGTGTTGCTATGAGAGTGACACTTGGGACACACCATCAGGTGTTGCTATGAGAGTGACACTTGGACACACCATCAGGTGTTTCTATGAGAGAGACACTTGGACACACCATCAGGTGTTGCTATGAGAGTGACACTTGGACACACCATCAGGTGTTGCTATGAGAGTGACACTTAGGACACACCATCAGGTGTTGCTATGAGAGTGACATTTGGACACACCATCAGGTGTTGCTATGAGAGTGACACT